AGATACAGTCAACAGTATATGTTTGGCAGATGATGTTATATAATTCAGTTTAATAAATAACGCAACAAGTCCAAAATTGCATATACATTATTTTTTTAAACTTATGCATGTTGTATTTTGGTTTACTTTACTAAATTATTTAACAATACAAAAAATATTTCTATTTATTTTACAAATGATTTAGAATGTCAAAAATTCATTTGTTTGGCATCAGATATGGAATATTTAGCAAGTTCATGATCTTAGATTGAATAGTGCATATATGAACTAGATTTTACAAATTAATTCACCTAAGATTTGAACATAAAGAATAATGTTTAATAAATTATTAGTAAGAAAAATGTACTTTACAAATTATAATTGCCAAAAAGCAACTAATATAAACATACTAATATTACTAATTAAAATAAATTATAGACAATTTTATATTGCATAAATTATTGAAGCAATTATATTGGTTGGTGGTAACAAAGGTGATATTGTTCTTCTACAGTAGATACTATATTTATTCTTTCTGAATTTCTTATACTGATTAAAAAACTGCAGTTTTTTAATTTTTATAAAATTTTTATTTTATTCTATAAATTTACAACATGAATATCTATCTTCATTTGAAGATAACAAAACAATTATTCATTTTAATCTATAATAAATTCACATAACTATTACTTTAATCTAAATAATAATAATTATGTGGCAAAAATATCACAAAAGCCACAAACAATATATTTAATTACAATACAACACTAATAAAAACATAAATGTGGTGGAAATATTTTGGATAAATTGAAACTGAAATATTTATTTTAACTAAAGATCTTTTATAAAACTAAATAGCACATAGTTGGAATACCAGATTTTTTACAGAATCTATCACATTAATTGTTGTGTTATTATTTACTAAACATTTTGAAAAAAATAATTTTGAGATTTTATTTATTAATTCTATAGATAGTAGATTGGATGGTGGACTGGATTTCTTGATCTTCCAAAAACTATTCTTTAGGCTTTATTTTGAATTTTTTGTAATTTATTCATATTATTTTTGCTTGTCATTTGCACCAAATTGGTAATAACATAGTTGGTCTTATTAAAGGCAGATATATTTATATTTATATTACCGGTACAGGAATAAATTTAATAATTATAGAAAATGAATTATCTTAATTGAACTAATTACAGTAAAATACAACTATTAAACAATATTAAGCCTAACATTAGTAATATCTAATACAATAACTTGAAGAAAAAAAAATGTAATAAAATTCAAATAGTAGTTAATTAAGGCTTGTAGATCTTGAGAGTCTTCTTATGGTAGAAAAAAATCCGTTATGCAATTTTTATTTGAGTCCCATATCTGGAAAATAATAATTAAGAGCAGTATCAAAAATAATATATAATATGAAAATAATTGTAATGATAAATACTTAAGGTAGAAAAATGTTAAAATAATTTAGAATAAAAATTAGAAAAAGTATTGAAAAGTGAAAAAATAATTGTAATTGTTGGAAAAAAGTATCAATTATTATCAGTAGGCATTTCATTATCAAAATAATGTTTGATATCGAAATTGGTAGTTATTAATTTTATTATATTTTTCTCTTATTTGATTTGTTCAGTGTGCTTTTGTTTTTTAATAACGGATATGAGGCATACATTAATTTTTTAGCTTGATCAATTTTAAATTTAATATGTTCGTTAAAGTTTATTTTTCTGTCAAGTATCACATCTAGGTATTTGACTTTGACTATTCCAATTGATATCAATGGCATTTACATATATTGGCTGATCAAAAAACTGCAGTTTCCAATACGTTATATATTATATATATATTAGCTATATATATATATATATATATATATTATATATAGCTTATACTAAAACCATAAATGGATGGACATTAAATAGAATTTTAAAAAAATATATGATGGGATATTAAAAAAATGGTACAGGACAACGTCTGTCGGGTCATCTAGTATATATATATATATATATATATATATATATATATATATATAATATAGTATAGTATAGTAAAAGATAGCAAAGTATTCGACGGACGTCCATTTGTGTTTGGTAGGTGACGTCAGGACGTCTGTGACCTTGTCTGAGGTCATTCACTACACAGACTGATAAATGATAATGCGAACCCGAAAATATATATACATGCAAACACACGACATATACATATGTGCACATATATACATTTATATAGAGTCGATCCTCTCTATAACGCGGTTTGTGCGTACCTCGGAATTAACGCACAAACTAGGCTAATTCGTAGTGCGTTCTATGGAAACCGGGTATCGCGTTGTAAGAGAATCGCGCTTTAAGAAACTCACACTTAGTACAAGTCACTGCATTTGTACCTCATTATTTAGAAACTAATAAGTACAACATGATCAATTTATACTTATTTATCTATGAACATGATAAATTGTACGTTGAAAATGAAACAAAAGATAAACGAAAAATCTACTCAAGGTGATTTTTTTTTTAGAAAGACCAACGTTTTGAGAAAATATCTTTGACACTACTGAAACCGATGTCGTCGTGCACAACTATGATATAAACTGGCATGTTTATATAAAAGATAAACTAGTCGATGTTAAAACCTTTTTTACTACAATTTTTAGTTACTAGAGTCATTCATAGATCGTGCTAAAGGAACTTTTGGGCGGTTGAACAAAAACCGTGTTATAGGAAGGATGTCGCAATTTTGTCTTCACATAGTATGTCAGCTGCGTTATAAGGTAACGCTCGCATAACACGGTACTTCTATAACACGGATTTACTCTAACACGGTTTAAGAATTGAGACCATCCCCCTCACAACACGGTACTTTGGGGTTCGCATAACACGGTTTAAGAATTGAGGACAGTTTTAATAAAATAAGAAATATAGTAAAACTTGTAAAAAGCAAACTTTTAATCTAAAATTAGTAAAATCGCCGTACAATACCTCGATAAATGTGATGAAACTAGTGCAAAAGATGACTGATTTGATATATATTATTAGAGCGCGTACGTTCTATCGAAAAAAAATTCTAGGATTATCCGAACAAAATATTAAACAATTCTTAAGCAATTCTTAAAATAAAATGAGCATAAAAGTTTAATAAAGATTACTTTAGATGTGTTAAATATATAAATATCATTTTGGTTAAAGCAAATATAAATTTTTGTAAAAAATAATGCACGGATCTGTAGGTAGTATAGAAAACTTCTCAAAGGATGATGATATCTTGTAAAAATGTTGGATAGCACTTACTTGTTAATTAGGACGATAAAAATCATATAATTCAAGTAATTTAAAATTCCATCTTAAAAAAATGAATAAATTTAACAATATTTATTATAAAATCATCATATGTGGCATGTTTTTTGGAAATCTTTGAACATGCCCCCACCTTTGTTTTTGTACTAGTTCTTTGTCCCTTATAACACGCTAGTTTTCTGAAACGTAACTACCGTGTTGTACGGGGGTTACCTGTAATATATTTCTAGTTTATTAAATAGTTAGACGATGATGTTAAAAATGAGCGTCGAAATAAATTAAAAGTAATTGGTCTCCAAAAATTTGAATAAAACATAATTCTGGGAGAAAACAGCAAATTGCTGTTTTGTGTCGATGAACTTCTTACTATACAATTTAAATGGGAATGGCATTTATATTATAATGACATGTATTAGCACAAGGACAATGAATATATATATATATATATATATATATATATATATATATAATTCTTCTGTACGGGTGTATGATTTGACACTTCTTCTTTATTTCGGATTCGGTTATTCGGATTTTGATAATTCTTTTTAGAGTTTGTCAAAAGAAATTTTTAAGATTTAATGAACGATAGAAAAGTAATATTGCAGAAATAAATGGCAAAATTGACAAAAAACCAATTATAATCGTTTGACATTGAAAGTATTTGAACAGTCATCTGCTAGAAATATCGATTCACTTGAAATTTGAATTTAGCTGCAATTATGAGCTTAGATAATATTAGGATATAATATACAAGAAAAACGTAATGTCTACGTTATTATTGCCGAAAAGCAACCGAGATGTGCCAGAAATTAAAATAATAAGATACAGTCAACGGTATATGTGTTTGGCAGATTTAATTATATAATTCAGTTTAATAAATAACGCAACAATTCCAAAATTGCATTTACATTATTTTTCTAAACTTATGCATGTATATATAAAATACCCATACAACCTTAAATACACAATACACAATACACAAACCCCTCTAGTGTTTAATTTCAATTTTATTCATCGAATAATTTTTCATCTCGCTTTCAGGCAATGGATGTTTTAGATTTTCCCGAGCTTATAGTAAAAAAAATATATTAAGGGTTGAATACTTCCAACACTCTTTTCAAGTTTTAGACGAATTTCTTTAATTTATTTCATATAATGCGGAATTTTTATAGTTAAAAAAATACCTACAATCCGAGATTTTCATCCTCTCATTACAAACCCCTATTTTGTTTAGAATTTTCTATTTATTGCTAAAGAATGAAATATCGCATTCAAAATCGTTTTATTCAAATTCAGTAAGATGTAATAGTCAATAATTCAATAATTCAATAATTTCTCATACATCACTTGATTACTATTTAATTTTGACTATTTCTTATTATCAGTATATTTCCAATAACATTATGGCAAAGCCTAAGTTTTTTCGCAAAACAAATTGGTTTGTTAAAATAAAAAAATAATTTTTAATAACAAAATTGACAAAAATGCCAACCAAACGTCATTTTCATTTTTCAAATTTACAACATCAAACAAATTTTATATAACATAAAAAACAATACAAATTCATAAAATCAAGATATAATTTAAACATAAATAAATTTTAAAATTTTAGTTTTACTACGACGACTTGTGTAATTGGTCTAATTGGTTGTTTATATAATAATAACAAGGGTTGTTAATTTATTTTAATTTTTTTTTTTTTGCAGAATGGCCAGACTTGAGACAGATCTTTTGGCGTTGGGGTGACACAGGATTCTAGAAAAAAATAGCTCGAAGCACAAAAATTAATTTTATACTGAAGAAATTAAGTTCGAGAGGAAACCAGTTTTTGCTCATTCGTAACTAGGTAAGAAAATTGTATGAAGAAATAATTTTTATATTGGGCAAGGAGGGGCACAAAGGTCCAAGGAAATAACATTGTTAACATTTTATTGCAATTTTTCTTGGAGGGATAAAAGGGACACACAGGAGGCTAAAAGATTTACTGTTTTTAATCTTTAATTGGTTTTATGTAGAAATTGCTGCATTGTTAGATCAATGCGGAGCAGTTTCATAGTAAAGAACAACAAATTTAAAAATTATAATCCTAATGTAGATATTGATAGGTATTTCTCTTTAATTTATCATAATCTAGACTCATTGTTTCTTCAAATACAATTATTACAAATACAGGTAATCCCCGTACAACGCGGTAGTTACGTTCCAGAAAACTAGCGTGTTATAAGGGACAAAGAACTAGTACAAAAACAAAGGTGGCGGCATGTTCAAGAATTCAAAAAAACATGCTACATATCATAATTATATAATCAATATTGTTACATTTATTCATTTTTTTAAAGAAGTAATATACATTACTTGAATTATATGATTTTTTTCGTCATAATTAACAAGTAAGTGCTATCCAATAAGATCCTTTTTTTTGCAAGATATCCTCATCCTCTGAGCAGTTTTCTTATACTACATACAGATCCGTGCATTATTTTTTGCAAAAATTTATATTTGCTTTTACTAAAATGATATTTATATATTTAACACGTGCAAAGTAATCTTTATTAAACTTTTATGCTCATTTTATTTAAAGAACTGCTCAAGAATTATTTAATATATTGTTCGGATAATCCTAGAATATTTTTTACCATAGATCGTACGCGCTCTAATAATATATATATCAAATCAGTCATCTTTTGCACTAGTTTCATCACATTTATTGAGCTATTGTGCGGCGATTTTACTAATTTTAGATTAAAAGATTACTTTTCATAGGTTTTACTATATTTCTTATTTTATTAAATTTTTGCTCAATTTTTAAACCGTGTTATGCGAACCCGAAAGTACCGTGCTATGAGGGGGATGGTCTCAATTCTTAAACCGTGTTAGAGCGAATTTGTGTTATAGAAGTACCGTGTTATGCAGGGGTTACCTGTATGGTAAATACAACTTTTGTTTGAAATTAAGGACACATTTTTCAAATTCAAATTAGTCAGAAGAATTCATCATCAGTGGGAAAACTAATAATTTAATTTGTCTTTTGTAAAATTGCCTTACAATTACAAATTTACAATTTAATTGTAATTTATTTTAATTTTTTATTCGCTATTATCAACCAGGTTATATAAAAAAACCGTTGAATCTAACTTTACATTAAAAATACATGTTACAAAATAATTAAATAACGTATACTTAAAAATTTAATTCAGGTATCGTAAACTAAACAACAGTGCTCAACACCAAGAAACCTATCAAAGACAAGAATATTTGCTTTAAGAAATTGTCATTATGATTGTTTATCTCGTGATTGCGATTTCGTTAGATTCATGGTTATGGCAAAGGCTGTAACCACTTTTTGCCCTGTACTTTAAAATAGTATCTTTAAAAAAGCCATACTTTATTTGCTTTGGAGGTTATTAGTGGCGGGACATTTTTACCAAGTGTTATAAATAATCAGTTCAATTTTACACTTACCACAATAGGAAAGTATCATTTTTTTGTCAACTCCAAATTAAGTTTGCTTTGTACTGAACTTAAATTTGTGAAAAAATGGAGCTCGATAAAATCCGCTAAACCTCGAAAACGGCTAAACCGATTTGGCTAGTCTTAGTCTTGAAAAATTCGTGCTAATCAGCAGGTTGTCGGAAAGGTGAGATATTATTACAAAATCGCGTACAAACTTCACATTTTTAATTTGAACATTTTTGTAGAAGCGTAATTTGAATAAAACAATGGACGGTGGCTAATACGTCAAATGTCAAATGTTTTTGACAGATGATGTTCAATTACGTTTAATAGGATGTTTTACGTGAATATTATTTAATTATGATCAAATTGTAGCAAGTAGTTTTGTTTGTAGTTTTATTTATATACAAAAGCGTTAGTAAACGGGCCGCAAGTGTTATTAGAAACTCAAAATATCAACTTTTTTGAAAAGTTAATATGAAAATGCACTTTTTGTTATATTTTCCTCAAACACGGTGCTCTGAAAGATCTCATTTGTATAATTATATACTCATTGGTATTTATAAAACATTTTATAGGTTATATTATTTTTTATTTATGTTATTTCAATTCAGAATCTAAATTTTGTATCGATCAAAGGGACATTTTGTCGAATAACATTTTCCCAGTTATAATTTCCCAGAATTTATAGAAGAATAGATAGTAATCTATGAAGGTCCGGGGTAAAAAGTTTCACCACCGATGTGTGAAAAATCAGTAAAGCTAAGCATTGTTTAACAATATTTGAAAGTAGAGGGAAAAAGATGTATAACCAGCTATAACCTTGATTCTTATGACCCTGTTAAATTGAGTCGAATGTTACTTGAAACTTTTCAAAAAGCAGGTCAAAAAAGAAATTCTTAATTCATTTTCTATCTCTCTTAGCAGAAATTTGAAAATTTTCTATAAGCTCAGTAGTATTATTACTAATTTTTTTGATTCTCCAGAAATTGTTTAGAATATACCTTATTTAGCAAAATAACGTTTGCCGGGTCAGCTAGTATACAATAATAATTAATTGAATATTTTGAGCAAAAACAATTCCAATTAATATCCTTATCATAGTTTGCGAATATTAAAAATGGACAGCGACTCGTCCGCTAGTGCTGTCCGAAGCGAACCGCCACCGTTGTCGACATTGCTGATGTCCGACAGTTCGTCGATCATGTCGGGAGGCGATGCTATTTTGCAAGGTATAAATAGACAGTGGAAATAATCTAACTAGAAGTTTAACTTCAATAATTCTAATTTCTAATAATTTTTTATGTATGTCTGTGTGTATGTTTGTGCATCTAGTCGACAAACCGGGTTCGTTTCACGACCATGATGTCGATTTGGAGACACTTAAGGAGGAGAGATCGAGAGAGGAAACTCGCGAATTGATCGAAAAAATGTCGAAAAAGTGTTTTTCTGCGTGTGTCGCCAGCCCTCCGAGGGACAACCTGAGCCAGGGCGAACAGAGATGTGTGGCTATGTGCATGGATAGGTGAATGGAGAGAAATATTTCATTTTAACAATAATATTAGCACAAAACTATAAAACAAAAATAAGCAGTCACCCCAACGTCTTACTAAACGAACTGTACAATACCACATATAACCACAGATTAAAAAGACAATCACTATTTGAATTAACAGAATAAGTAAAGTTAGTTTATGTAGGAATTATTTATATGTATATGTATTTATAGTCATATATTATTTATGTATATTTAGACTTACAATAGGTTTTAGTATCTATATTTATAAATATTTTGCCATAATTGTTACATATCATAACTAAAAGGTTTGCTACTTGGTATCCTTTTAAGCATCCATTTTTACTACCAACAATCTAATTACTGAATGTCTCTTGGAGACAGATTGTAATTTATTTGGAAATAAAAAAAAAAAAATAATAATATAAGTTTTATGGGCCAATTCTCCAACTCTTAGTCGCGTAAAAATATTTTTTTTTTAAATACATAAATGAATTTATTTTGCTGTTAAATGATATTTTTAATAGACTTTTATTTTCAAACATTTTTACTAAAAAAACCAAATATATCAAAATCCAAAAAATTGGACTAGCTTGAATTCGTTCTTAATGTATTGTGAAATATATATATAAAATATATATTTATATTTATATTTATATATAAAAAATATATACGGATTGGGGTCAATTTTTTACGTTTGTTTAAATACCATTGAAATTTTGTTCGGGGCACTCTTTTTTATTTAGCTTAGCAGAAACTTAATTAATTTTTTATAACGCTTAATTAAAATACACATACAGCCTTAAATTTTTACCCTTCTACCACAAACCCCAAATTCGTAATATCAATTTTTTTCATCGAATAATTTTTGATCTCGCTTTCGGGCAATGAATGTTTTTCACTGAAATTCGATTTAGGTTTTTCCGAGCTTATAGTAAAAAAAATATATTAAGGTAACACCTTTTTCAAGTTTCTAGACGAATTTCTTTAATTTATTTCATATTATGAGGAATTTTTATAGTTAAAAAAATACGTACAATCCGAGATTTTCACCCTCTCATTACAAACCCCTATTTTGTTTAGAATTTTCTATTTATTGCTAAAGAATGAAATATCGAATTCAAAGTCGTTTTATTCAAAACTTTTATATCGGACTGTATAAAAGTGTTCTCAGGAAAATGTAGTAAATTTTATCTAGTTTTACCCTATCTAAATGAAAAGGGGTGGTTCCATATGAAACTTTTGAGTTATTTGACAAAACCAAAAAAATGCCTCGAATTTTCTATTTTTTTGCTAAAAAATGATATATCGAATTCAATTCTTAATGCATTGTGAAACATATGGATTGTCAATTTTTTACGTTTTTTTAAATAACATTGAAATTTTATTCCGTACACTCTTTTTTATTTAGCTTAGCAGAAACTAGATAAAATTTACTAAAATTCTGTTTAAACTGTTTTATATACCCCTATACGAAAATTTTTGTGAAAAAATGAAACTAGTGTAAACTCGTAATTAATGTTTTGAACAATATATGGGGATTCGGGACATTTTTTAGATTTTTTAAAATGACACTAAAATTTTGTTCCGTGCACTCTTTTTTATTTAACTTACAAAAAACTAGATAAAATTTACTAAAATTTTGTATAAATTGTTTTATGTACCCCTATAAAAATTTTTTGGTAAACAAATAAAACTAGAGTGAACTCGTCCTTAAGGTATTGAGCAATAGGGATTCGGGACACAATTTGTTTAAATGTCATTAAAATTTTGTTCGGGACACTCTTGTTTGTTTAGCTTACCAGAAACAAGATAAAATTTACTAAAATTCTGTATAAAATGTTTTATATACCCCTATACGAAATTTTTTGTGAAAA